GATACATCTTAATTGCATCTAAAAAGACTGGTATCCCAAATAACAGTGTGAGGTTCTGAGTGGACATGTCTTTTGGGGACCACAATTCAACCCACTGCTGTACGTTAGTAGCCATATAGTATTCCTTCCTATTTTTTAAAAAAGATTTTATTTATTTACTTGAGAGAGAGGGAGAGAGAGAGAGAGCAAGCACAGAAGGAGAGGGAGAAGCAGACCCCTGCTGAGCAAGGAGCCTGACACGGGGCTCTATCCCAGGACTCTGGGATCATGACCTGAGCTGAAGACAGACGCTTCACCGACTGCGCCACCCGGGTGCCCCATATTCCTTCCTATTAATATGTTGGCCATTTCAGTTCTTTCTGACTTTTTTGCTAATATGAATGGCAGCTCTAAATGGATGCATATGAAAATGCCACATGACAGTACTATTATTTTCCTTGCCTGTTATTTTCTTGGGATAATTTTCCGAAGTCAATTTATAATGTCAGTGGTGAGAACAGGTTTCCAGCTCTTTTAACATACTGCCGGGGTGTGGTCCAGAGAGATTGGATCACTTTGAAATACTCATAGCAATATGTGAAATAACTGGACAAAAAAAAGAGATAACTAATTGTTTCAGTGTCCAACAGGAGGCAAATATCTAACAAGTAAAGAATTAACTATAGACAGAATAGTCTATAGTTAAGACTCAAGAAGGTAAGACTCAAGAAGGTAATGACTCAACTGCCTTATCTTTCCTATGGTGCCACTTTATCCCACACAGATCTGTTGATGCTTCTTTTAGGGGCTGGCCGATGAAGAAAGTGGTTACCTGATCTGTAACAGAACTTTAGCTGCAATGAGGGTAAGGGCTTTCACATTGGCCTCTAATCAGCTTGAGCCAATTTGAGGGAAATTCGTTTTTCTTAGTTCCCCAACCTCAGTGTTCTTTGCAATTTGCTAGTCTGTCTTTGACCCCCAGGCCTAAGTGCCCACTGCCTCACATTCTCACTGCCTCTTCTTTCTGCTGAATTCTATGTGGCTGACTGATGTTGGCTGCCCACTCCCAGGAGAGCTAAGTTTAACAGGGATTAAAAGCCAAAGTTATGGAGATGATGCACTGAAAGGTGCCATTTCTGGCATCAACCAGTTGGGAGAAGTGTGAGCAGGGGAAGAATCAGGGCCAAGAGGAAAATACTGCCTTCCCCAGCTTAAAACAAAACAACCCTGACTCTTAAGGTTGATTTTGAAAGGAGACTTGCCCGGGAGAAGGTAAGCTGGATTGTGTGACTCCAAATTTATCCTGAGATTCACCTTCTTCTTGATGGTCTCTTGATGATTATGGTGGCTGCAACCATGCAGACCTCAAAGGGACCCACTTCATCTGTGATTACTGTGGCCAAAGATTCCCATCCTTCTTTTAGTACCAGGCAGCAGAGGAGAAACAGCTTGGACTATTAATGTGTATGTGCAGGTGTACTTAAGGCTAGAGGATAACCAAAGTTAAGTAAACATAGTGAATACCTAAATTTAGATAATCTGATGATAAAATCTAATCTTCTCTCTGGAATTTGTAGTCTCACATCAGTGTAGGTGCCTGGAAATTAACAGATCTTTTTTTATATCTCTTCCTTTGGGTTCCCAGTCTTCCTCCACACGGGACCTCCATCTTTAATACACAACCCCTGGGAGCATCAACCTAGATATGTGGACTCTCAAAGTCTAAGCTAAGAGAATGAGGAGAAGTCCTCTCTACCTGCAGTTTGCCCTTCCAATTCCAGTTTATAGGTAATGATGGAACATTTGAGCTTAGCCTTTAGTACCAGACTCCCTGAGTACAAACCCCAGCTCTACCTCTTAACAGTTGTGATCGGGATTCAGTTAACATTTCTTTTTTTAATTACTATTAATTTATTTATTTGAGGGGGGAGGGGCAGAAAGAGAGAGAGAATCTCAAGCAGACTCCCAATGAGCATGGAGCCCAATGCGGGGCTCAATCCCACGACCCTGAAATCGTGACCTGAGCTGAAACCAAAAGTCCAATGCTTTACCGACTGAGCCACCCAGGCACCCCACGATTGACATTAACATTTCTAAGTCAGATTCTTCATCTGTAAAATGGGATAGTAAAATTTTTAATTTCAGAGGTTTGTGGTAAGGAATAAAAGAGATAAGTCCTTAGCATAGTGTTTGGCACATAGAAAGTGCTCAATGTCAGCAAATATTAGACATAAGTGTAAATAAATATTATATAAATAATAAATATATAAATATCATGAAGACTAACTCTTCTCTTAGGTGACTGATAGAAATTACCTTACCTCCTACTCATATTGATGTGGCTCAACTTTTTAGGCTATCACAATAATGATTATATTTGAGAATGTGACTTCAGAGTCCAAAAATTCATACAAGAAATACACTTATAGATAGTAACTGGGATGTGGAGTAATTTCTTTATGAGGCCTAAATTACACTGAATAGGAACTTGTTTTCTCATAAATATAAATATAATCACTAGTATTTTTGTTATCATTTTTATCGAGAGGGAGAGAGAGAGAGAAGTATTTACTTAAGGAATTGGCTCACAAGATTATGTGAGCTGACAGGTCCCAAGATACGCAGTCAGCAAGCTGGAGACCCAGGAGAGCTGATGGTATAGTTCTAGTCCAAGGGCAAGAGACTAATGTCCTGGCCCAGCAGTCAGGTAGGCAGACGTTCTCTCTTAGCTTTCTGTTCTATTCAAGTCTTCATTTGATTGGGTGAAACCCACCACATTATCAAGGGCAGTCTGCTTTACTCAGTCTACTGATTCACATGTTAATCTCATTCAGAGATTCCCTTGTAGACACACCCATAATAATTTTCTGACCAAATATCTGGGAATCCTATGACCCAGTAAATTTGACACACAATAATCATCACAGGGACTGAAAAAACATGTCCTTCCTCCTTTCCAAACTTCTACTCAGGGATAAAAGGCATAGAGTGGAAGTGGGATGGGGATTTATCCGTGAGATCTGGGTTACCACAAGTCAAATAATTTTAAGACAGAGGACTTAAAAACTAAAAGGAAACAAACATTTTTTTTTTTTTTAAATTCCAAAGACTCAAGGCCACAGTCTTAGTCTGCTCCAGCTGCCATAACAAAATATCACACTCTGGGTAGCTTAAACAGAAATGAATTTCCTCACAGCTCTGGACCCTGGAAATCCAAGACTAACATCTAGCAGGGTCAGTTTCTGGTGAGAACTCTCTTTCTGACTTATATACAGCCTCCTTTTCGTGTCCTCACATGGCTTTCTTCTGTGCATGTGCACTCCTGGTGTCACTTCATCTTCCTATAAGGACACCACACTATTGGATTAGGGCCCCACTCTTAGTGACTTCATTTAACCTTAATTACCTCCCTAATGGCCTTGTCTCCAAATAGTCAGAGTGGGGATTAGGGCTTCAACATAGGAATGGGGGGGCACAATCCAGCATTTATGGGGTGGTCATGGCTCCCTCCAGCCCAAACCCCATAAAAGGGAAGGATGACAAAGTTCAAAGGACATCATCATAATCACTAGTATTGTCATAATGAGACATTAAGAACCTGTTCACAACATATTTACTGGTTCACAAAGAGAACTCAAAAATCATTTTTTTCAACAATGTTTATTGAGCATCTTTGATACACTCAGCTAGCTACTTTTTTTTGTCTGATGCATTTATTGCTGTATCCCCCACCCTAGACAGTATCTGACACATTGTAGGTACTCAATAAATATCAGTGAAATTGATTGAAAGGGTAAGTGCTCATGAGGTTTCAGAGATCCGGATCTCCCAGATGGCTCTCTCCCACCCCCAGCCTCTGCTGTGTCCGCGCCTGGCTCATAGACACTGACCCTTGGACAGCTCATCATGGGGTTGTTGATCTAACAACCACTCAACTTTGTTCCCTGGATTCTGTCTTGGCCTCTGTCCCAGGATTTCCAGGAAATCCAAACCCAGCTGTTCTCAGTCTTGTCTTTGCTATTCCTTACTGATCTCTGTAACTTTGTGAGGCTCTCGCTCCTCTGTGTGGCAGATACATGAATGGCCATATTGGGTCTGTTGTCAATCCTATGGCCACATAGCAGGTCTTTTTTTAATGTAAATTTTAATTAGTGAACATACAGTACAATATTGATTTCTGGAATAGAATTCAGTGATTCATCACTTACATACAACACCAATGCTTATCACAGCAAGTGCCCTCTTTAATACACATCACTTGTCTAGCCCATGCCCCACCCACCTCCCTCCATCAACCCTCAGTTTGTTCTCTGTTGTTAAGTGTCTCTATGGTTTGTTTCCCTCTCTCCCTTTTTTCCTTTTCTTCTTCCCATATGTTCATCTATTTTGTTTCTTAAATTCTACATATGAGTGAGATCATATGATATTTGTCTTTCTCTGACTTATTTCAGCATAATACACTCTAGCTCCATCCATGTCATTGCAAATGGCAAGATTTCATTCTTTTAGATGATTGAGTAATTTTCCAATGTATATATACACCACATTTTCTTTATTCTTCAGTTGATGGACATTTGGGCTCTCTCCACAGTTTGGCTATTGTTGATAATGTTGCTATAAACATCGAGGTGCATGTACCCCTTCGAATCTGTGATTTTGTATCCTTTGAGTAAATACCTAGGATCAACTAGCTACTTTTGATGGTGAGGACAACACAACCCTTGCCTTTAAGGTGTTCCAATTTTGTAGGAATGTTTAAGCACATGCACACCCACACATATCTAGAATCCAAAGTGGAAAGTGATAAATGTAATGGAAGAAGTAATGGAATATGCTATGGGATTTGGAAGAGAAAGAAATATATAATTAGTAATAGTCATTATCCTTTATTGAGCATTTACCGTTATATGCTTGGGAGTTAGCTTAATCATGATTCTCATTTTTCAGGATCTTACATTATAAGACAGACAAAAATTCAACTCGTAATCTGGTAAGTACTGTATGTATCAGTGAGTAAAGTGTAGTACTTTGGTCAAAGCAGCTCTGTGTAGTAGCATCATGCAGAAAAGCCATTAATTTGCCTGGAGTGACTTGATGGTTGGTGGTCAGGTGCCTAAGAAAAGTGGGATGTGAGACTGGGTTTCATGTTTTAGCGGGGATTGATTGGCCTCTGCTGGGGAAAGTGGATGGATGTTTAATAATGTTGCCAACATCTGAAGTATAAAAAGAGGGGCTCTTACCAAGGCTAGATCCAGTTGCCCCCAGCCCTCTCCAACTAGAAAGTAGAGGAAATCTCTTGCCCTTCAACATCATTGTGGCTACCAAGAGGAGGCCCTATTATTGGGCAAAGAGGAAGCCAGAACCCTTGTATCATTTAGTACATTTTGGGCTTAAAAATAGGAAGAGGGAGTGACGATAAATGGATCAAGAAAGAGATTTGAAAATAATGGTGGAGGAGTGATGTACACTGATAGAGCAGTAGAAAGGGAAACAGCTTAAGTATTGAGCACCTGTTGTGTACCAGGAGCTTTATGGCTTTATATATGTTATCTCAGTTAACTCTCCAGTGACCACATAGGCTTTGATGGAAGTAGAAACAGGTTACTAGAGCAGAGGCACAGCAACTTGCTTTTAAGCACAGGCAGGTAAGAAACAGAGCTGAGCTTGCAAGCCTGCTCCTAGCAGTGAGCCTTGCACTCTCCTGGGTTTAGGGTGACTGCAGTCAACTAAACCCCAGTCAGGTGGCTAGTTTTTGGCAGCAAGAAGAGAATGAAAGTTTGGGCAGTGATGAACATTTTGTTTAGCAGCACTTTTACATTTCTTTCCTAAGCAGCTTTCCAGCTAATGGCCGATCACACAGAGTGTACAAGTGCGTTTTGCTAATAAATAGGACTGCCTCCCCCACCGAGCCACGGAAGCGCTAAGAACCCAACCGCGCAATTCCCAGCACAGCAGCGCCCAAGATGCCTGAGGGTGGACCCAGAGGCGGGGTGGGGCCACCTTGGCTGCCCGGGGATTTGAGCCGGGGGTGGGCGGGGAGGAGCAATTGTGACCTGCCCGGGTCCCTCCCCTCCCTGGGCACTGTGATGCTGCAGGGCAGCTGCTGGCCTAGCATGTCTGTCCCCAGACCCCTCCCGGCTGGTGTGTCACAACAGCGGAGGCGGCTGTATCTAGAGCACTTGGGGTGGGCAGGCCCAGCTGGGAGGCAAGCCGGCGAGGAGAGCGGCCGCGATGGTGAGCCTTTCCAGGGCCCGGGGCTGGGGGCCGGGGATCTGGGGCGCGGGGCTGGCACCCAGCGGAGAGCCATATCTACGCGGGGGCTAATGGATTCATCGCTTTGGATCTGCAGAGCTTGAAGACTCTTGGGGTGTCAGTTCAGGGTCGAGGGGGTCCGTACCCTCTGGCGGAGGACACCCGTGCCCGTACCCTTTATAATATACATAAAGTAGAGACCTGAGGCGAATCGCCCCCCAAAGGGACCTAAGGGAGATTTGCGCACGCAGGTGATGAGAGGGAGGACTTGGGAAGCCGGCGCCGAAGAGGTGAGATTCTGAGGGATCCCCAGACAGGCAGCTCAGGGTCTAGAGTGGGGTAAGTAGGAGACAGTCCAGGGATTCCAGATGGGTGAGCTGGCCCCGGCGGCTGGGGGAGTGGGTGCAGTTAGGTCCCCAAATCCAATCAAATGTGAGAGAGCCCCAGAATGTGACAGAGGACTCAGGGCGTCACAGTCTCCCCACGCTTGAGGTCGTTTTCCTTTCTGGTCTCTGAACATTAGCTTGGGTTTGGGGGGCATTAAAACTCGAGCACTCTCAGCTTCCCAGACACCTGGCACCCACGCCAACTCCCCAGTTTTTCCAGCTGTCGAAATGGGAAGGTCTTTGGCACACAGAAGTCTCCCTCCCGAAGGCAAGGGGACCTCAGACTTCTCTTTTTGTTTACTATCATGGTTAAGGCTCAGCAGCGACTCCTTTCTCCCTCCCGGAAATCTATCTCCTTTTGCAGTCGCAGATCTTAACTTGCTGGAGGGGGCCTCTACAGGCCCTCTAGAATCCCCCCCCCCCCGCCCCCGCTCTCCCCCGGGAGCGGGTAAAATTGTTCCCGATCCACTTCCCTGAACGCCTGAAAACCCAGAATCTCCTTGTTCAGAGCCCTGGTATTTTGGTAGCAGGGAGGTGGATTGGGAGGGTTGGGTGGAGGAGGCGGACAGAATAAGCAAGTCTCCTAAGCCAAGGTCAGGTTCTCTGGGCACTCTTGCTCTAGGTGTCAGGTGACCGAGCAGGGTAGGCGAGAAAACTCTGCTCCTCCCCCAGCCTCTGCTCTGTTTGGAAAGTGCCCAGGGCCTCTAGCTCTGGCTCCAGCCCTGTTTCTAGCTAGAGGTCTGTCCAGCAGCCTCTGTCTCTGGAGCATGCTCACAGACCCACCTGGGAGCTTGAAGAACTTGGGGGATATTGGTGATAGTGCCCAAAGGAATACACTCCTGTCCGGATGTGAGGCCATAGAAGAAGCCCAGAGAAGAATTTTGACTCCTGGCTCGGCATCTAGCTTCAAGAATGTCGATTAACCTCTCTGGACTGGTTTTCTCATCTACAGAATGAAGAGGGGTTATGGTTACAATTTCTAAGGCTCCACCTAGCTTTACTATTTTAAACTTCTTATTGTAGAGAATTTCAAACATATACAAAAGGGGAGAGAATGATATAATGAACCCCAGTATATGCCTCATCCAATTTCAACAATTATCTACTTAGGACAAGTCTTGCTTCATTTATTCCCCTTTCCCTTACTTCCTATTATTCTGAAGCAAATCCTAGGCAGCATACTCAGAATTTGGTATTTAATATTTATAATATCTAGAATGTAGTGCTCTATAATTTTCAAAGTGTTTTCTCTTGCATGTTTTAATTTTGACCTGAATGCCATAGTGACTCTCAGAGTAGAGCCTAAAGGAGGCTTACAAGGGAGTCAATGATGGTAGTCTAGCCCTCTGAGCAAACTTTGATATATATTCAATAGGCAAGTTTCTGAAAATATCTGGTAAATAAAAATTTTAAACAGTAAAACCTTATTATAAATGTGGCTGTTTAACTGAAAACCTGTGGTTGAATATTTTGAAAAGAGAATATCTTTTATTTATTTTGAAACTGAATTTTGTATAGCAGGTTGTGTTTAAAATATTTAGTTACATGGGCAGCATTCTCTTAATGGGAAAATATTTTTTATTGGCCATTTCCTACTCATAGAACCTCTTTTTTTATTTATAAGATTTTATTTATTTTTAATTTTTAATTTTTTTTAATTTTTAAAATTTTTTTTCTTTGTGGGATTTTTTTTAAAATTTTTTATTGTTATGTTAATCACCATATATTACATAATTTGTTTTGGTGTAGTGTTCCATGATTCATTGTTTGTTCATAACACCCAGTGTTCCATGCAGAATGTGCCCTCTTTAACACCCATCACCAGGCTAACCCATCCCCCTACCCTCCTCCCCTCTAGAAACCTCAGTTTGTTTTTCAGAGTCCATCATCTCTCCTGGTTCGTCTCCCCCTCTGACTTACTCCCCTTCATTCTTTCTTTCCTGCTATCTTCTTCTTTTTCTTTTTTTTTTCTTAAAATATGTTGCGTTATTTGTTTCAGAAGTACAGATCTGTGATTCAACAGTCTTACACAATTCACAGCGCTCACCATAGCACATATCTTCCCCAATGTCTATCACCCAGCCACCCCATCCCTCCCACCCCCGACCACTCCAGCAACCCTCAGTTTGTTCCTGAGATTAAGAATTCCTCATATCAGTGAGGTCATATGATACATGTCTTTCTCTGACTGACTTATTTCACTCAGCATAACACCCTCCAGTTCCAGCCACGTCGTTGCAAATGGCAAGATCTCATTCCTTTTGATGGCTGCATAATATTCCATTGTGTATATATACCACATCTTCTTTATCCATTCATCTGTCGATGGACATCTTGGCTCTTTCCACAGTTTGGCTATTGTGGACATTGCTGCTATAAACATTGGGGTGCACGTACCCCTTCGGGTCCCTACATTTGTATCTTTGGGGTAAATACCCAGTAGTGCAATTGCTGGATCGAATGGTAGCTCTACTTTCAACTGTTTGAGGAACCTCCATACTGTTTTCCAGAGGGGTTGCACCAGCTTGCATTCCCACCAACAGTGTAGGAGGGTTCCCCTTTCTCCACATCCCCGCCAACATCTGTCGTTCCCTGACTTGTTAATTTTTGCTATTCTGACGGGTGTGAGGTGGTATCTCATTGAGGTTTTGATTTGGATTTCCCTGATGCCGAGCGATGTTGAGCACTTTTTCATGTGCCTGTTGGCCATTTGGATGTCTTCTTTGGAAAAATGTCTGTTCATGTCTTCATAGAACCTCTTTTTAAAAATCTCTTGACCCATTCCTGAAAGGCTAGGATGACACATCTAATAAATGAAGACCCAAAGAATCCTACCCTTGCAGAAAGAACTTTACTTTAACAGGTTGTTTCAGGCAGCCATCCTCTAGGTTTCCCTTCCCTTGTTGGAGTTGGAGGGAAGGCTGCTTCTGTGTGAAGAAGAATTAGATTTAGCATTTCTGTAGGTTCTGAGTAAGAAATGTATAACTAATCCTATAACTGAGCATTCCCATCTGCTCCCAGTGTCCTTCCAGTAAGCAGTTCTTCTGGGAACTGAGACTAGGACACCTTTGGAGAAAGTGGGATGGAGACTTCTGGCCAGGTGTCCCAAGCCAAGCCCATGTCAATGATACCAGGGCACAGAGAAAGTGTCTGGGTTTATGGGGAGGTGAGAACACCTGCAGCATAGCCTCCTTAACTGCATTCCTTCTGAGCCAGGGAGCACTGGTTCAGATGGGGATAGGCATGAAGTGGCAACAAAGAGCCTGTTTCCTCAAAAAAATAGAGGGGAGGGGAGAGTATTTGGGGGGGCAAGAGGGACACTGCTTCTGTGTCTGCAGTCCTCTGCAAACTGCCCCCATGTAGGCAGGCGTGGCTGAGCTCTGCAGGGTCCATACTTATTTTCTGACCTCAGACCACTTCTGGAGTCACTTCTGCATCTGCCCTTACCATTACTAAGGACAGATTCCCCAGACGTTGTAGGGGTACATGCCTCCAAATAGCAGAGGAGCCCTGATGACCAGAACTTCCCTCGGCAGTGGCTAGAACACGGGTGCTGGCTAAATGAGGAGGAGTTTTCATAGGAAGCTTCCAGGCTCAGGTCAGGCCATGCGGAGCTAGAGGGCCACTGCTGTTGCTGAGTTTCCTTTCTGAGGGGGCTTCTGAGTGACCTTGAGAGGAAGATGAAAAGTTAAAAATAACTTCTGAGGGGGAAATAACTGGTGAATTCAGGACCCATGATGGGGGTGGGTGGACCCAACTGCTCCTTCCTTGGGGGCGGAAGTGGACCAACTGCTCCTTTTCCCTTTGGCCACCAAGGGACCAGTAACACTATCTGTGGCCGTTGTTGACATTTCCCCTGTCTGTGTCTTCCTGTTAGAATTTCTCCCACATAATGACCTGTGGAAGAATGGGAAAATAGACTAGGTGGTTATGCACCAGATTAAAACTCCTTAACTGTCTCTCACACTTGCCCCTGAGGTCAGCTAAAGCCTAAGGGCCTTCGGACACCAATGGGTCTCTTAGGCTGGGAGTCTATTTACCACACACCCCTGCCATTCCTAAAGGTGGTCTTATGTCATCCCTATTGCTGCCCTAAATGCAGTGCCTATAATCTGAGCCCCCTCTCTTGAGCTATTTTCACTCACTTAATTTCACTCACTTTCACTCACTTAATTTAGGTCAAGTTTTTGTTCTTGCTGTTTCTGGCTTGCTATCTTTTCTTTGTTCTGAGTGATTACAAATATGCTGTAATTGAAGGGTTTTGAGCAGAGATAATTCAAGCAATCTTTTATGTATCACATTTCTTCTTACTTTAGTTATTCCTCCATAACACTGTGGATCTACTTTTTATTTGCCATCTTTGACCTAGATCCTGAAATATAGGTGATTTATTAGCCCAACCTGACAACTAGACATAATTTGGTAATAATATGCTTCCTGAGAGCAACTGTGTGGCATTTGACCACAGGGAATGTGGACTGGTCTCAGGTTTTCACATGGCATATACCACTGTCTGTGTCAGTTCCTTTCCTAGATAATATGCCAGTTTTACGATACTTCAGACTGATTTTTGAAGCTACAAAACCTCCTTCTACA